CCCCCCCCCCTCCTCTCCTCATCCTCCAGCGGGTAGACAAAAAAGGGGAAGGCCGATCCTCGCAGACTCGAAGCATTGTTTGTTTCCTCATTCGTTGATGTTGCTTGTCGTTCTTTCATTGTTTTCCCGAGCATAAAGGTAGATAAATATCAGAGCCGTTATGGGCACAACCATGCTACCGGCTGCCCTCTCCGGGGCCACTCTAGCTGATAATACACGCGAAACGGTCTTCTCCCTCCTTCCCTTTTCATTATCCTGCGAGAGCGTACGAATCCCCGATTCTCTACGCTTTTTACTTCGAGTCGAGTCGGCCGTTGGTTTATTTTCCGACTCTTGGGCCGCGGCCGGGGCTGACTGACGGCCAAAGTCCGCGACTAATTGTCCGACTTTATGAAAATACGCGCGGCCGGAATGGAATTAGTCGCTACTTCCGTATTCCGGGCTATCGGATAATAAAATGCGACAAATAAAGCGGAAATTGATGGGGGAAAGGTCCCCGCCGCGCACCATTGCGATTGGCTCGCGACAAAACCTCCGCGCCCCCCGGCCGCCTCCGCTCCTCGCATTCCTCCAGCCGCCTTGAGCAATCCTAAGCACAAGCGCGCCCCGGCATCTGGGCAAGCTATTCCAGGGGGTGCGGGGGCGGCCGAGAGCGCCGACAGGCTTGCTGAGAGGCCTGCCTTACACTTGGGTGGCCGGTTGGTTGGCGGGGCCGGTCGTGCCCCGACTTCCGTCACCGAATGCTGAGCTTGCCCCTCGCGAAATCTATTGTTGAAAAGTTAAACTCAGGTAAATGATACAAACAGTAACCCATTAGCCACAACTCTAGGGGCACAACGCGTAGGGCCACTGTACCGGGGGTAGCAGGGCGGGCACCAGTGTTGCGAGATTGCATACCCTCTGGGGCTGCAGGGACCGTGGCGCTTTTCCGGGTCGGAGAAGTGAGCAGACCCGCCACCGTCCGCAACACCGCGGCGTCCGCCAAGATCCGTCATAAAATGGATCATGTGCACAATGCGTATTCTTAATTGATATCGTGCATTCGTGGACGATGTTCTAGAGTCGAAAATATGGGGAATGACGACATTTGCAAGGTTTTTGTGAACAGAGGCAAGATTTTATTTGCGGTGTCCAGTCAAGGACCATTAGGCTAAGTAGATGGACTACGCATTCGGTAGTTTCTGCGCGCATTTACAACTGGGCGTCAACCCGCCGCTGACAGGTTGGGGAACGCTTCGGCACTCCTCGGCCGTGTTCGGGGCCTGCTTCGAGACCCACCTCGAGCCAAGCGAGCGAGGCCCCGTTGGCGTGGTCGAGTGGCGGGGCGGGCTACTACTGCTCACACGGCTCGAGGTGGGTCCCGAAGCAGGCCCCGAGCACGGCCGAGGAGTGCCGAAGCGGTCCCCAACCTGTCAGCGGCAGGTTGACATGCCCGGTTGTAAAGGCAACACAGCGGGGTTCAGTTTGCGTAGTGCACTTAATGGTCCTTGTGTATAATAGTGCTCACAGGGCTAGTCGCTTGCGTCCTGAGTACAGGCCCACAGCTTACAGGTATGCGCGGATGTCGTCGTCCTCGCGGACGATGTCCTCGTCCAAGAGCCTGTGGCTGGGGGTGTACTTGTGGGCGGTCTGCTGGGGGAGCACGCTGTCGAAGTCATTGACGTTCTTGTTGATGAGGACGTTGTTGTTGTCGGTGGCGGTGTCCTTGTGGAAGATGGCGACGTCCTTGAAGTACATGTTGGGCATGTAGAAGCGGCCGAAGTTCTCGATCTGGCGGTCGAAGGGGAAGCCGAGGGGACGGTTGTCGAGGACGGTCATGAGTCCGTTGCAGGAGTAGATGTCCTTAACGCCGGTCTGGTAGTTGACCTTCTCGGAGTGGTAGTAGTCAGCGTGCTCGTGCTCGTCGGCACCGTAGGGGGTGACCATGACGAAGAAAGCGTAGGGGACTCCGGCCTTGTGGCCCATGGGCAGGACAAGACGGTCGGGGAAACCGCACTGGCGGTCGACGCTGGAGAGGACGGTGCTGCCGCTCTCGGCGCTCTTGAGCAGGGACTTGAAGGAGACGTTGTCGCCGACGGTGGTGGTGAACTCGCGGGAGTTGCGCTTGATCAGGTTGTCGCCGTTCTTCACTGTGAGGCGAGAAACAGAAATCAGACGTTATGATTGTGGCGGGCGCGAAAAGACAAACGGGGTAAGTGTGCACAAAAAAAAGAAGAAACAAAGAATACTCACGCTCAACGGGGAAACGGTCGAGCTCGACGAAATAGTTCCTGAGCCTGTCGAGGTCGGCGGTGTCGTGTCCGTAGTAGACATCAGAGGCCTGCTCGCCGTAGAAGTTGGAGTGGGTGAGGGCGGTGCTGGGTCCAAGGAAGACGCGGACAACGGCGCTGGTCTTCTGGTTGCTGGAGACCTTGATCTTGTAGTTGAAGGGCTGGTGGTTGAGACGCATTGCCTTGGCGATGTAGTTGAGCTTCTCGAGTTCGTCGATGGAGGCGACGTCGACAGCGTTGCTGACATCAATGTCGAAGAGGTCGAAGTAGGTGACGAGCTTGTCGACGGCGACGTCCTGGACGGTGACTCCGTTGAAGTACAGGTCATCGGGCTTGTAGGCGGGCAGGTTGTTCTTGTACTGGGCGAACATGTTGTTGATGTACTTCTGGAGGATGTAGAAGGCGGGGTCGCGGAGGGCGGTCTCGTAGTGGCCGATGACGCCGGGGGCGACGCCGTGCTCGTTGGTGGGGTCCATGATGAGGGCTAGGAGGTTGCGGATCATGGTCTGGTAGGAGCCGTAGTAGCGGGAGTTGACGGAGTCCTGGTTGCCCTCGATGATGTTGCCGAGGATGTTGATGCCCTTGACGTACTGGTTGATGGGGATCTTGTTGCCGTCCTTGCCGAGCACGAAGCCGGAGTCGATGGCGTCCTTAATCCTCTGCTCGATGGCCTTCAGGTCCTCAATGTTGTAGGACTTGATGCTGGAGATGTCCTGCTCGGCGGGGCGGGCGGGGAACTGGGCGCCGTTGGGGTAGAGCAGGTCGGGGTTGTAGCCGGTCTTGATGGTCTCCTCCCAGTCGAAGTCCTCGAGCTCGGGCAGGTAGTTGGCCATACGCTGCAGGTTGTAGCGGGCGAGGATCTGCTGGTAGTAGTAGTAGAAGGCCTCTCCGCGCATCTGGCAGGTGGTGATGCCGTACTTCTCGCAGTTGAGCCAGAAGGGCATGTAGAGGTGGGCGTAGGCGTGGTAGGCGTTGACGCCGACATCCTCGGTAAAGTAGCCCAGGAGCTGCTCGGGGTTGATGATCTCGCCACCGGTCCAGTTGGTCATCTTGACGTAGTTGATCTGACCCTGCATCTTGGCGCTCATGAACTCCATGATGTCGCCGGAGTTGAGGTACAGCTGGGGAGCGACTTCGTACAGCGGAGGGAGCACCAGGCCGGCGCAGTCATCGCGGTGCACGACGGCGACGGAGAAGGCGTAGGCGAACTGGGACTCGTTGACGTTGTCGCGGGCCCAGGCGGCGGTCTTGATGAAGGTTTCGAAGTCCTTGGCGAAGTAGAGCATGTCGAACAGGGCGACCACCTCCTTCAGCTGGGAGTCGTTGTACACGTGGAAGATCTCGCCGCGGGGCAGGGTACCCTGCTTCCACATGTTGACGAAGTTCTTGACGACATACTGGTTTGCGTAACGGTCAGCGATCTGCATGGGGTTCCAGTTCTGGCCCATGGCGACGAGTTCGGGGTACATGTTCTTCTGGCCGACGTTCCTCAGCAGCTGCAGCACCACCTTCTGGCGTTGGGCAACATCCTGTCCACCTGGGACAAAGAACACATAATAGTTAGAACACACCCGCATTGTGCTGAACACGAACACCGGGCTGTGGCCCAAGACACGGGTTGGCTACTTACTGATGTGGACGTTGTCCGTGGCGCCGGTGCGCACGTTGGGGATGTGCAGAGCGGCTGCCACCGCCAGGGTGGCGAGGAGGGCGACGGTTACCTTGTACATTGTGAGTGCAAGGAAGATTGACCGGGAACTGGTGCCGAACTGAGCGCTGCCTTTCGCTTTTATACGGTTTATGCCCGTTTCATCTGGACCCGACGGCTAAGTTGATAACTGGTATCACATCTCTCAGTCAGTACCCCCTGCCTGGTGCGAGTTATCATCTGCGTTGCCGGGCGATGTTGCGGAGTTCGTCTCCGATCTTTATGTTTATTTGTAATGAACTTGAACGTAATCGGACTGGTCGGGAATATTGACATTCGTGCCTTTCCACTTCACATCATTGGCCCACTATAGAGCACACAGCCACCTGTGAGAACCGAGCGTCCTGTGAATAAAACAAATTTGAGTGAGAAAATGAAAATGGCAGACTATATCGCGTTGGCACAACACTACTTTCGTCGCGCACAGAAAGGCTGCGCACGCGCCGTGCACGCGTTGTGCACCCATTTCATCACGAGCTGCAGCGGCCAGTTCAAGGCCATAATCGTGTTGCTTGAATGATCAGGCACGCCGACTACGATAATCACGGGCACATCTCGGTTGATCCTTCTCGAGTGCCTCCCGGAGCACCGTGCGCAGCCGAGCATTAGGCGGCCTCCAGCCCAGGTGCTGCTCCCGAGCGCCGCCGCCGCCGCCTGCGGGTGGGCGGGTAGGCCGCGCGCCGAGCAGGGCTGAGCCACGGCATTTGGGTTGCCTACCGCGCAGGCGCTCCACGCCACGCAGAGGAGGACGTGAGCCCTGCAGCCGCACGCAGCCTTCCCGCGCGACCCCGCCCCTCCTTCCCCTTCTCTTTCTCTCTCTGTGTCTCTCTGTCTCTCTCTCTCTCTCTCTCTCTCTCTCTCTCTCTC